AGCGGACGAGAGTGCCAAGAGGAGAAACGACAGCAGTGGCCGCCAAGGGTTCAGGGCAATACTGCAGGCGGCGGCGGGGGCATGGGGCATAATCGCCTTGGGTGCCGCGCAAATGCTGCCCACCGATGTGGGCCGCTCTGCGAATGCGTGCCTCACATCACTCCGCACCATCTTGCAGAAGTTTCCCAGATTGGCCTGTGTCCAAGGGCGCAGACAGGAAATGTGTCCCAGTGATTGCGGTGGCCTCCACCGTCCCAAACCATCCTTCAGAGGCTCCCGATACAATCACACACCGACGAGATACAGTCAGAACTCATAGTAGAGACGCACGGATGTCCTTAGAGTAGCCTTGCGTCCTTTCCTCTGCGTCCCGTCCTCCGCGGTTCTCCCAGGCCGGCCCTTCAGGGTGTTGGCAGCCCGCCGCCCAAAGAGTGCCAACTTCGGCGTCCAAGGCTCTTGCGTCCTTACCGCCCGTCCTTATCATAGAATTGACTTAGAGGAAAGAGAACTATGCACATACACCGATTCTGGCCAGGCCCATCCTGAGCCCAGGATCGGTGCATACGCCCTCTCACCTTGGCCAGGAAGGTATATGCACCGATCCTGGGTCAAGGACGGGCGTTGTCAGGATCGGTGCATGTGCATAGTTCTCTTCGCCCGACTTATCATAGAATTGGCTGTAGTATGCAATGGGGCTGGGGTGACACCAACCGGCAAGCAAAGATTGCGAAGCTCCGTCATCCGGGAGCGTCACAGGCCAAGCAAGACCGCCGACCCTTCGGCGTGCGCGAGACGCCGTCGCCGTCTTCATCGTCGCCGTCGTCGCCGCCAGTCCCAAGAAACTTAAGGAACGAAGAAAGAAAAGCAAAGTCATAGTCAAGTCGATTCCCTTCACGTCTTCCCCCTCCCCAGACCTGGGGGGGGGGGGTACGAGGGGGGACGGGGGGGGCCCCGGTCAGACTGTTTCCCCCGGGGTCCCGGCGGGTGGCCCCGCCTGTGCACAAGGGGAGACAGGGAGGAGCCCCCCCTGTGGGAGGGAGCTGGCCCCGGCCCCGAGCCCCTGCCCTGGCCCCGAGCCCGGCCCCCAGCCTCGGCCCCCAGCCTCTGGCCCTGGCCTCGGCCCCCGGCTCCCAGGAGGGGCCCCTGGCCCCGGCCCCTGGCCCCCGGCCCCGGCCCCCAGCCCTGGCCCCAGCCCTGGCCCTGGCCCCCGAGCCCGGCCCCAGGCCTGGTCCCAGCCTCAGCCCTGGCCCCGGGGTCACGGGGAAGGTCCCGCCTTCATATAAGAAGGGTCGACGGCACCGGCCGTGAGGCCTTCAGAATATGGCCATCGGGAACCAGCGACACACGATAGCACACACACACACACATTAGGAACAACGCGGGGCAACAATGCCCCAGAGCAGGGGGAGAACAGGCCTTAGAAATATCCAAAACCCCGTCGATTCACAAAACCCATGGCTTCGCATGTGCATTTATATATATATATATATATATATATATATATATACACATATATACACATACATATATGTGTATGAAGACAGCCGCCCCCCCCAGCACCCACTGATCGTCTTCGGTTATTTTGACTGTGGTATTATCTCCTCTTTGTCTCCATTCGTTCCCGCATTTCTTCATCCTCCTCCTCCTTCTTCTCCTTATCCTTCTCCCCTCCTCCTCCTCCTCCTTCCTCCTCCTCGTCCTCCTCCTCCTCCTGTTGCTCCTCCTCCTCCTCCTCCTCTTCATCATCCTCTTCATCATCCTCTTCATCATCATCATCATCATCATCATCATCATCATCATCATCATCATCATCATCATCATCATCATCATCATCATCATCATCATCATCATCATCATCATCATCATCCTCTTCCTATTCCGATGAGGTAGAAAGACAAAGAGCCTGCAAAAAGACAGAGAGAGACATACAGAGAGACTCGAGGGAGCAGCGATCCCTTTGAGATTACATGTTTTGCGAAGTAAGGGGGCGCCAACCCTGTGATTTCACTTGGATGCTTGGGATCTCTGGTATGAGACTCCCAGAAAACATGTAGTGTCATTCGGATGTGTGCCATGTTAGGGGATTTCTGCAGTTCAGAGCTCTGCAAGGCTGCTACGCGGATGTTCATGGTCCCCGAAATCGAATGAACCCAAATCGAATCACATGGTTTCTGGGGTTTTCATCCCAGTGACAACGAGGAAACATATACAGCATTCAAAAACAAGCGCGAAAACACACACACACACACACACACACAAAAACAAAAAAATGTGAGGTCACAGGGTTTGGTGCCCCCTTACTTCGAAACCTGGCTATTTCACAGGGATCGCTGTTCCCTCAGTCTCTTGTTTGTTGTTGTCTCTCTCTCTATCTCTTTCTCTCTCTCTCTCTCTCTTTTTCTATCCCTTTCTATCAAGCTCTGTATGCTCCTCTGCCGGTGAGGCAGATGGGCAGAAAGCAATAGAGAGACAGAGGGAGAGAGAGAGAGAGGGAGACTCGAGGGAGCAGCGTGTTTCCTGTGACATCACATGGTTTGCGAAGGAAAGGAGCAGCAAACCCAGTGATTTCACTACGATGTTTGGGCTTTCTGATATGAGAATACAAGAAAATCGATAATTTCATTTGGATGTTTGCAAGTTGGGGGGTGTCTGTGACTTCTGGGGGTCTGAGCTCTGGAGGGCTGCAGCGTGAATGTTCGTCGAAGAATGGGCAGTAAATACAAAAAAAAAAAAAACTAATGTAACCGCAAGGTTTCTGGCATTCTCAATCCAGCAACCCAAAATCTCATACCAGAACAGAAAGAGAGAGAGAGAGAGAAAGAAAGAAAGAAAGAAAGAGAGAGACAGACCGACAGAGAGAGTAGCGACCCCAGTGAAATCACATTATTTGTAAAATCCGCCGACCCTGTCGGCGTGTGGAAGACGCATCCCGGTGTCGTCGTCTTGCGTGGATCACCGTCGTCGTCGTCGTCGTCGTCGTCGTCTCCGTCGTGTCCTCGTCGTCTCCGTCTCCGTTGTCCCTCGTCGTCTTCGTCGTTCCCCGTCTCCTTGAGCGCGCGAGCCAAAGCGACATTGAGCAACGTCGTAGTTGAGTCGTGGCGAAGCCCCTCCCTACCCTCCCCGCCGGGAGGGGGGGGGGGGGGGTCGCCGGGGGGGGTCCCCGGGGGGGGTCGCCACCCAGATACGCATCCTCCCCGGGGGGTCCCGGAGCTCAGAAAAGCTTCAAGACGAGCCAAGAGCGACAGAAGACACCCCCAAAAGGGTACAAGAGGGCCTCGACTCGACGAACGATGGCCCCAAGACGCCCAAGACGGCCCGAAGACGGCCCAAGAGGCCCTCAAGACGCTCCAAGAGAGCCCCAAGAGCACACCCAAGAGGGCCCCAGGCGCCAAAATCGTCAATTTTACATCGGTTTTTGAATGATTTTGGCCTTCTCGCCTTTTCGGCTTTCCGACACTCCAAGACGGCCCAAGAGGCCCCCAAGAGGCCCCCAAGAGCGCCCCAAGAGGCCTACAAGAGGGCCCCAAGACGGCCCAGGAAGGCCCCAGGACAGCCTCAGAGGCGCCCAAGACGGCCCAATAGGGCCCCAAGACGGGCCCAAGAAACGGCCAAGAGGGGGACGAGGAACCGAGAATTCGAGACTTCCGCCCTAAGAGGCCCCCGGGAAGCCCCAAGAGGCCCCCAAAAGGCCCCAAGAGGCCCCCGAGCGGCGCCAAGACGCCCCCAAGATGCGCCGAAGACGGCCTCCGGAAGCCCCAAGAGGCCCAAAAGAGGCCCCAAGAGGCCCCACAACGGCCCCCAAGAGGCTTCAAGTTGCCTTCCAGACGCCCCCGAGAGGTCAACCACGAGATCCCAACCAACATCCATAAGGCCTCCTCCTCCTCCCCCTTCACCCTTCCTCCTCATACTCCCTTCCGCCTCCTCCTCCTCCTCCTCCTCCTCCTGCCCCCCCCCTCGTGTTGTCTTTCGTCATCTTCAGGGTCGGCGGCAACGGCCGTAAGGCCTTCGCAATAAGGGGGCACCAGACCCTGTGATGTCACTGGGAGGCTTGGGATTTCCGAATGTGAATCCCAGAAACCCTGCGATGTCAGTTGGATGGTTAGGAGTTTGGGGATTTCTGGGGTTCTGGAGGGCTGCAGCGTGGATGTTCGTGGGAGGATGCGAAACCCCAAAAAGACTCATAAACCCAAAAGGCATCGCATGGTTTCAGGGAGTCGCATAGCAACAAATCCAAAACGTCGCAGTGAAATCACAGGGTTTGGCGCCCCGTTACTTCGCAAACCTGGCAAGTTCCCAAGGAGCCCTGCTCCCTTTGGCCTCCTCTCTCTCTCTCTCTCTCTCTCTCTATATATATATATATATATATATATGTGTATCTTTTATCTCTCGCTCTCTCTCTCTCTCTCTCTCTCTCCTCTCTGTCTCTCTGCCTCATCGGAGGAGGAAGGCGAGGAGGAGGAGGAAACGAGCGCAAAGAATGGGGGGGGGAGGAGCAGCAGCAGCAGCAGCAGCAGCAGGAGGGTCCGCAGTAGCAGGAGGGGGGGGAAGAGAAGTAACAGGCAGAGGAGGATCCGAGGAGGAGAACACATAACAGGAAGAATAAGAGAAGAGCAGGAGACGAACGGAGAGGAAGAGGAGAGAAGAACACCGTCATAAAAAGAGAAGAAGACGATCCGCGGGTTCTGGGAGGGGCTGCGCTATTACTAATAGATGTATGCGGAGTGTTGTACGCCTTATACAGCTCGGCGGAGAAGGAAAAGGTATCTGGGCGAAGAGCAGGAGAGGTGGGCGATGGGCAGGGTTCGGCGCGCTCGCTTAAGAGCAAGAGCGGTTGCTAAACGATTGTGCAAGAGCCTGAGACCATAGCTTCACTCCAAGAAACGGAATGCTCTGCCTCTCCTGCCCCTCTACCCATGGATCAGGATGCTGTTCCTCTCCCTTGCCTACACCTCCGACCTCATCCCCGCTCCATCCCTCTTGTTCGTCCTTCCATCTGCGCCCTCATCATCGCACGTTCGAAGGGCGCATCCAGCAATGGAAGAGGGAAGCGCTGGTGTCCTCTGCAGTTATCTTCACCCATGTGTCCGTATTGGTATCGAGACTGTACGCGTCCGCGGTAATGGTGTAGCGGCCTGCATGGCCAAAGGCCGTCGGCACTGGCAGCGAAGCCGCTCGCAAGGCGCAAGAAGATGACAGCGGTTACCGCGGGAGACTGGAAAGGCCAGGGGCCGTGGCAGCATACAGGCATCGCCGTGGAGTTGTCCTCCTTTTTCTCCTCTTCTGGTCATCCGCCGCCTCATACTCCAGATATCTCTGAAGTTTCAAACACGTCGATCCTCGACCCTTGCCCTCCCCCATTCTCTTCTTGTCGTCGTCCTCTGCCAACCTCCCCCTCGTTGGGCATGCCCATTTGAACCCTACCCCTGAAGGTCAAATTTCTGCAACCCTGGCGGGACTCAGAGTCTGAAGCACGCCTGCAGCCAACTGAATCTGAAGAGGGGATGCCTGCGCCAATTGAGCCCGCATGGAGCACGGTTCGCCAGTGGTCACAGACCTCCTCCTCCTCCTCCTCCTCCCCCTCCTCCTCCTTCTCCCCCTCCCCCTCCTCCTCCTCATCCCAACCATCATCCCCATCCTCATCCAAATCACCCATCCCTCCCCGCACTCGCTCTGCGACTTTCCCGGTCCTCCTCCTCAGCCTCCGTCTCCTCCTTAGCCACATCGCACATCCCCCCATTCACCTCCTCATGCTCCTCATACTCTTACTCATACTATTACTACTACGGTGACTGCTACTACTACTACTACTACTACTACTACTACTACTACTACTACTACTACTACTACTACTACTACGTCTACGACTACTACTACTACTACTACTACTACTACGGCTACGACTACGACTAGTACTACTACGAGTACTACTACTA